GGAAGCGTCAATGTTGAATGCGGATGTTTACAGTGATGACGTTGATTTTGTCGATGATAACGAAGCTGATGATGATAACGATGATTATGATGCTGGTGTATCTTCTGAACGCCTTCGTCTCAATACATCTGTTGAAATGAATCAATATGCCAATGGCGTTCATGCTGACAGTTCCTATCCAGATTGTGACTTGGTCTAGGATTGCAGGTCTCGGGTGCATGTTGTAGGCTTGTCCTAGGTTTTCCTTCCCGTTCTATTATCCTTTCTTTTTCCACCAAATTTATCTAGGATGCTTGTACGGCAGTTAATCCTCAGTATTTTCCTCTGTTGTTGCTCTCGATGATGATGATAATGATGATGATGTTTCGGATGATGATGGTGATGACAATGATGATGATGAGGATCAGAAGATGTGTTGTATGTGCATGTATGGTGTCCAGGAACAGCGGAGTTCTCACTAGTTTAATGTGTCGTTCCATAACTCGGTTGTCTCAATTCTAGTGATGGTTTCACGGTATTGCCCACACTGGATTCCCTTAAAGTTGCCTAAGCTGATCTATCTGCTTCACATAGCTCTTCTTTGTCATTATCTCCCACCCGCACGCAGGAAGATATAAGAAAGCGTACACTGGAGCAACAATACGAGGAGGGGAAAAAGACGGTGTTTAGTCACGTGACGAAACACGGTGAAATGGTGAGTCACAAAATGCCGCAGAGAGATTCTTTTGGGTCACTTGTGAAAAGTCAAACTGTTATGAAATGAAAACTATGTATCGAGATGACAGTTGTATTTTGTTAACTGTGAAAGGGGGCGGTCAATGTTTAAAATATTCGGTTAGGAACTTCAGGTTCTATAGACCAAGTTCAGCAAGGTTGCTGGCCTAGACATCTAGATATACAAGCCCGGGCAATGTCACTTTTCGGATAACCAAGCAATGGCTCTGGGTAACTTATGATTCATACAATTCTGTGCTACGGTACAAAAGGAAGTCGAAGTTTTTTGAATCGTCTAGAATTTACTCATAGGAAGAATAGATTTACACGATGACCGAGACCTCCAACTGAAAAGTTGACACTCGGGGAACCGGTAAATTTGTGGCCACGTGATGTGGTCTTCCGTGATAGTGCAATGAGTGCCTTGGATCTGAACGAGAAAACGTTAGGTGATAAGCTAGTGATTTGGTGGACATCAGTGCTATACAGTGATGTTTGTGAGACAGTTTCGGAACAGATGTTCATTGATCAACCGGATTTTTCAACACTATCACGTGAGTACTAAGGTGTAAAATTACGGTCGCATGGTGAGCCGCTTCTTCATTGTATGGAACAAGACGCTATCGTGGTTGATGATGAACTGACAGGTGTCTGCTTATCGTTTGTTTCAGGCGATGGGAAGTCTCCCAGTTGGAAAATTTCAAGGTCATTATGATCTACTGACGCACCGGAGCGATGGGGCGATAGCAGTATGTGTTCAGCGCGATTATTACCATTTTGAGATGCCTACTTGGACAGTTATTTCTTACGCCACTGGATGTTTAATGAAACAAGTGACCAATTCACATTCCAATGACAGTCAAATAAGTTGTAACTTCAGTGGGAGAAACACCTAACATCCCATTTATTATCGACGAAGACCGCCATTTTAGAGCTGACCCAATAACCTCAATTAAAATATAATTTGATGGAAAAAAATTTAATCCGACGAAAATATCCATGTGGTTTCCTACAAGTCTAAAAATAGAAATACAGGTAGATGGATAGATAGATAGATAGATAGATAGATAGATAAACAGATAAATAGGTTGGTACGTATCTGGATGAGTAGCGGCCAACTGACAAAAACACAGCGGAGCTAGCGAATCGTGGATCAAACACACGGAGCGTCTGACGATTGCCTGTCGCACGCTGAGTGATAATCGAGCTGATGTCGAAAACCCATCAGTCCAACTGACAAGCATTTCACTAATTGCAATTATTCATTGANGGGCAGTATTCAATCAATTCCGGACGAACTGGTTCAAAATCCAGCAGGCAAGTTGACTTCGTGATGCACGGAACCAAGATGTGCAAACACATACGTGCACTACTAGCTAATGCATTCACCCACGGTGTCACGTAAGGCGAGACTCAGTCTCAAGATTACTCTTAGTTAAACGTCCAGCAGATGAAATTTCGGGGTAAATGTTGTGCGCAAATCACTAGCACCTTCGTTCTTTTCCTGAGATTGGACGTTCATGTCGGAACATGGTGTTCATTAGTTCAACATCTTGCAAGCTATTTTCCATCATAACCCGTTCTTACTAAGGCGACCGGTGGTAGGTGGAAATTGATGGAGATAAATCGGAATTTCGAAAATACGAAGTATTACGGAGTAACCATATAGACATATCAAGCTTGACAGCAGCTGGATGAAGCTGCCTGACTTCAATGCAATTCATTTCATTGCAGTTCAGGTCAGTTCAGTTCAGTTCAGTTTAGTGTAATTCAGTTTGAACTCATTGAGAACTGAATTCTAACCACCATAACATAACCACCAAGAAAATTGGTAGATTGTTGTTGGAAGTGACACAGGAGAGCCGTGAATAGGGGTTTCTTTGTTTATGAAGGATCCCTGTATTCAACACTGCTAAGGAATATAGTGATGCATGATTGGGCCAGCAAATCTTGCTGGAATCGTTGGGGATGTTATTCAAAAACGCACAATTTCGAGGACCATTTACCGAACAAATCGATGTCCAACCGACAGAAATCTGGAACAATTGGTGCGGTAAAACTTTAGAAAGAGAAGCCCAGGATGAAATCCATGACCAATGAACTCGGGTCAGTTTATATGAAAACCTATGTCTTACGTTGAATGTGTATCTTGGTTTCAATGTTTTGACAACCACTTTCAAATCTCTGTTGACTTAACCTCAGGTTTTTCCGTATATGGTGTTATATATCCCTCTTTTTGATCAACGAGACTAGCCCTTTTTTTACAAAGCTCGTTCGATTCTACCTGCAATTACTTTCCTATGGATGCTGCAAAGGTTTAGACAGCTGACGACCAGTTCCGCCTTTCTTAGGGTTGATCAGGTAGGCGAACTTCCTGAGATCCCATCAGCCTTGTGTTCTGGATGATCATTCAGTAGAAGCGAAACATCATTGGCGGTTCACTGGTGTCCCATGTCGAAACCAAATCCGTTTACAAGCATGAGTCTTTGACAAAATCTTTCGGGTTAAACTAAAACATGAGGTTGACGGAAACTCTGTGACTGCGACTACCTGATGAACCCCAAGACGGGCGAAACCGGTCATAGTTTTACTACGTATTTTGTTTCGTGGAGTTCGCACAGTCACTCATCTGCTACGCAGCTGAAATATTTTGCGTATTCTTCGCTAACATCGTGCGTATATATATATAAAAGCGCCTCAAAATATCCAAAACTCAGATATACCGATACCCACCAACATCTTCTACAAATGCCAGTTTTAATCGCGTACCCGATATATAATTGACATTCAGTGCGCCTCACTGATAATCTTCCGCACTGCAAAGCATAATGGCCGGTTCTTCACGAGAATGCTGAAGCCTGTTGGTGGCCGTTATGAGGAATCTTGTGTGAAAAAACCTCCCTGTTCGGTTGAAAGCATCTTAGTCATTAGTATAAAACTGTGCTCAAAATGAAGGATCCTAAGTATTTCTTATGTGTAGCGAATCATTCGCTTCCACGGCTAGACTGACTTCATAGTTGAGATTCTGTTATCAATCTGCCTTCAGGTCTTCGAGGCTGCCCAGCATACAACTCATTTATTGGATATGTGCAAACTCGGATACGAGGCTGAAACCCTCATTGACTCTGTCAACAACGTCTGTTCCTAACGAATACGCACCGCATTCTGTGATTTTGCCAAAATAAAATGAATTTCCGCTGTTCCGTATCGTTTCTTGCCATCGTCCCGAAATATGGGCTGTGCTTTTCCATCAAGCTAGCCAACCAAAGATGGTTCGGTGTAAGCCAAAAGCATTTAGGCAAACCCTCGGCCTTCTCAGGCCTTGTGGACTCATCAAGACGCCTCACATATCTGACGTACCGGTGCACGATAGGTGCACAGGACGAACGAAAATAGGCAAGTCGGCCGACACAGGTAGAACAGTTTCGCAATTACTTTCCTATGGATGCTGCAAAGGTTTAGACAGCTGACGACCAGTTCCGCCTTTCTTAGGGTTGATCAGGTAGGCAAACTTCCTGAGATCCCATCAGCCTTGTGTTCTGGATGATCATTCAGTAGAAGCGAAACATCATTGGCGGTTCACTGGTGTCCCATGTCGAAACCAAATCCGTTTACAAGCATGAGTCTTTGACAAAATCTTTCGGGTTAAACTAAAACATGAGGTTGACGGAAACTCTGTGACTGCGACTACCTGATGAACCCCAAGACGGGCGAAACCGGTCATAGTTTTACTACGTATTTTGTTTCGTGGAGTTCGCACAGTCACTCATCTGCTACGCAGCTGAAATATTTTGCGTATTCTTCGCTAACATCGTGCGTATATATATATATAAATGCCTCGAAGCATCCGAAACTCAGATATAGTAATACTCAACAACCCCTCTCACAAATCGCAGACCCAATATCTACTTAACATTCATTTGGCCTCGCTGATAATCTTCCGCACTGTTAAGTATAATGACCAGTTCTTCACGAGAATGCTGAAGCCTGTTGGTGGCCGTTATGAGGAATCTTGTGTGAAAAAACCTCCCTGTTCGGTTGTCGCGTACCCGATATATAATTGACATTCAGTGCGCCTCACTGATAATCTTCCGCACTGCAAAGCATAATGGCCGGTTCTTCACGAGAATGCTGAAGCCTGTTGGTGGCCCTTAGGAGGAATCTTGTGTGAACACACCTCCCTGTTCGTTTGAAAGCATTCTCAGTCATTACTACAAACCTATGCTCAAAATGAAGGATCCTAAGTCTTTCTTATGCGCGGCGAATCATTTGCTTCCATGATTAGACAGACCTCCTAGCTGAGATCCTGTCATCTATCTGTCTTAAGGTCTCCGATGTAGCCCAGCATACAACTCATTTAATGGACCTGTGCAAAGACGGATACGAGGCTGAAACCCTCATTGACTCTGTCAACAACGTCTGTTCCTAACGAATACGCACCGTATTCTGTGATTTTGCCGAAATAAAATGAATTTCCGCTGTTCCGTATCGTTTTTTGCCATCGTCCCGAAATATGGGCTGTGCTTTTCCATCAAGCTAGCCAACCAAAGATGGTTCGGTGTAAGCCAAAAGCATTTAGGCAAACCCTCGGCCTTCTCAGGCCTTGTGGACTCATCAAGACGCCTCACATATCTGACGTACCGGTGCACGATAGGTGCACAGGACGAACGAAAATAGGCAAGTCGGCCGACACAGGTAGAACAGTTTCGTGTCATCTGTCGACTCAAACACACTGCTCAAATTTCAATGTTTCTCGTGATCACTCTGGCCGTGATTGTGATGCATCGTCAAACGTAGCCCCATCGACTTTGAATATGATGTTCTCATACAGCTCTTCAAAACATCACAGTATATTTAGATGAGGTCGTTGGGAAGGCCTTATTTTGTCTAACAACCAGACTGGTGAGGAGTCTTTTGGAACTTTGTGTTCCGGCCAGTTGTTTTCTTAACGCATTTTCAACCTGATGTTGTTGTATCAGATTCATCAACTGGCTGATGTTCATGCCAAGCCAGATGTATCTAGTCCAGAATCATTATCCAGGTACTCCAAAGAAGAATGTTTGGATACACCAGATGCGCAGTACCACACAGAAATCAGCACAATGGACAGACCGAATACCAGTGGAGGAAGAATACCTGCTTAGGAACTGACCAATAAAACGCCAGGCGACAAAGCAGGCCGGTTGTTCACTCGGGTGATACGCAGCACAATCTGTAATACTATTCTTGAAATGACCTGCCACCAATAATAATGCTGAAAAACCTTCAGCAACTCACTGCACGTCTCACATTTCTAGGCTTCATTTTATAGGCGTACAATCTAATGTGCAATTAAACCAAGGTTGATAGAAAATCACAGACGAATAAATCAAAGACGAATCAACGCCACCGAGTAGATGTGGTGTGACAGTTGATTCACACGTTGCACGGATGTCTATCTTGGGACTAACGTAAAAAATCATTCCGTATTGGACAGACCTCTTGCCGTTGACCAGAGCTGTCAACCCGCAGACTGCGACGGGAGTTTTTACGTGAAATGCGGACTACGGTATAGAACACTCTTACATTGCAATGTTTTAGTTGCTGTTTGGAGCCAGGTAACATTCCCTGTAGTGGAAGCCAGCCACTACATAACACCAGCATGAAATGCGTCGTCATTCGCTAGTTGGTAAATTGTTCTTCTGATCGCAAGCAATCGGCGATATGCAAGCCAATAAGCATGAATTTCCCGTCCCGTTAACTTTTGTGTTGTAAC